ATCGGACACCCGTACTCTCACAATCATATCGGAATACTTGTTAATAAGTACACCTTGTAAATAAGTACACCTTGTAAATAAGTACAATTGTAAATAATTACACATCGGAATACACCTTATAACAATGTTATATTGACACCGCGATGGTGTCATGGAAAATTGTTTGTAGGCGTGCATTTCATTCTGTCTTCTGTGGGCTTTTTTGTTTTTTTAATTGCTGCTTTTAAATGCTCACTAAAGCATTTTGTCATTGCGCATATTAAGTGTTTTATGCTTTCTAATCGGTGTGTCTGATCAGACATAACTGTTTTTATAAGAAAACAGAATGCGCACATTTGTGTTTTAGATTCTTCTGGGTTGCTTTACGACACTATGGATACCTGGGTCTGGCGTGCCTTCTGGCGATAAGGACTATACTCCTGAAAACAGCGGACATACTTATGAGTTAATTGCGCTTTACCATCGGCCATAGCACCCTGATTTGTACGCTGGAACTGCTTGAGGATTGCTCAGGGAGTATGGCTCAATACTACCCTGGGTAGACAGGTCTCGCGGCTTGTTGCCAATTTTTGCAGAAACTTTGTGTGGTCTACGCTGCTTATGGACCCAGGGGAAAGGGAGACTTTCAGCCCTTGTGATGCGTCTTTGTTGTGGAAACTCAATTTAGGATCCAAAGAGAAGATCATGGTTAGTCTTCATTTTGCTATTTCTACCTGGGAACTTCCATCCCAACCCGGTTCCTGTGTCAGGCCAATTTCAAACGGCAGACGAACTTAAATCCACAAATGGACTACGCTTTTTTTCACCTATTATTTGTGCATTTTGATAAATAAAATGTCCTCACAGAGACATGGTTAAAGGCATCAGTTTTAAATGACTTGATTAATATCTACACTTATAATGTCTTCAGATGTGATCGTACAAAAAAAAGGAGAGGGAATTGCAATATACGTGAAGTCCAACTTAAATTGCTCACGCATACATTCAATCAGCAAAGTAAACAGCCTGGAATTGTTGGTGCTTAGACTACATTTGGTCTCCGGCTCGGACATTATTGTTAGTGGTTGTTATCGCCCGCCTTCATCGTCTTCAAGTGAAGCATGCACTTGACCTGCAGAATTTCTTCACGATTGGACTAAATTTAAATTGATTTTACTCGGCGATCTGAACTGGGACTGGCTGTTGTCTTCCTCCGACTTAATTAAGGAGGTATGTGACTCTTTTCGTTTGATACAGCTAATTAAAACAAAAACTCGGAAAAATCTGAAAAATCTTCTCTCTTGGATTTAATTTTAACCATAGATTGACCATAGATATTCCGCAACGGAAGTTTTCTGCAATTACATTAGTGATCACTGTGCAGTTGTCTGCGTGATAAACTGTAAAAACCATAGACCTTTATAACAATATATTTTTAAAAGATTCTTTAAGCATTTTAATGAACAAGCCGTTTTATGGGATATTCATCTCAGTGATCTGGGTTTTGTTTCATTTATACCTGATGGTAACCTGGCCTGGGACTACATCAGATCCATATTTTTATCTATCTGTGATACACACACCCCAACAAAACAATTTAGGATAAGTGGTAAAGATAATCCTTGGTTCAGTCACACAGTTTCTACCTCTATACAACAAAGGAATATTTTATGGGCCAAGGCAAAGAAATCAAAAGATTTTACAGACTGCAATTCATATAGAGCTTTACGAAATAAGCGCACAAAGTTAATAAAAAGGGCAAAGTGTGATTATTATTTGTCTATGGTAGACAAAAACTTAAAAAATCCTATACATTTTTGGAAATTAGTCAAGTCTATTTCAGTACCTAAATTGGTTTCTAATTTCCCAAATAATTTAAAAGTTAATAACACTCAGGTTAAAGCAGAGAAACTATTGCACACAATCTTAATAATTATTTTATATCTGTCGGCTCAACTTCTGAGTCTCCCAACTCATATGCCCATACTTCAAATACATTTGTTGAGCCTGTTTGAAACAGCTCCTCTCATTTGTTAAAGTTTTTGCCTATTACTGTTGCACAAGTCCATAAATCTCTAGAGACTCAAGTAGAACTGGGCGATATGGCAAAAAAAATTATCACGATAATTTTTTAATATCAGTCAATATCGATATTTATCACGATAAGCGTAAAATCTTTATATCTATCAATTTTACAAGATTTTCAGTATGCTAATCGCTTTGTGCAGCTGATTTAAAACATTTAGTGAAATGTTTTCGCTGTCTGACAATATAAATAATAAAATAATAATCTAAAGAACAATCTTAATTCAGCATTTACTGTTCTAGTTTTCAACAACCAAAGACATTATAAGTTAGGATATTATTGTTAAATATCAGAAAAAAAAAAAAAAAAAAACAGGAAAAAGTAAGTGTGAGTTAATGGTCACAGAAGTCACCCGCAGACCCAAATAATTACAGTCCTATTTGCAGACTGTCAGTTTTAGCAAAGGTCTTTGAATCATTGATAAATAATCAACTAAAACAATATTTGTCAGTTGATAATATTCTTTAGGATTACCAGTCAGGCTGCAGCAACGCTAGTCTTAAATGATATCACATCATCTTTAGACAGTAAACAGTATTGATTTATCCAAAGCTTTTGACTCTGTAGATTACAAACTAATGTTACAGACACTTAGGCTTTTAGGTTTTAGTCAACCTGGTCTAAACTGGTTTAAAAATTACTTTTCAGAACACACTCAATGTGTGACAGTTGAAAATGATAATTCACCTTTTCTTAATGCCAACACTGGAGTTCCCTAAGGATCTATTTTAGCTCTGATGTTATTTTCTATTTATATTAACGATTTAGGTCATAGAATAGAATCAGCTAAAATACATCTGTATGCCGATGACACAATAATTTATACAGCGGCACATTCCTTAAACCAACCTGTACAGTATTAACAGATTGCTTTTCAAGTATTACAGTGTACGTTGCAGGACTTAAAATTGGTTTTAAACTAAATATATGATTTTTATCCCTAGCTGCACTAAGATAACAGACCAGACAATTACAACTCTGAATGGTGTTCAAATAGAAAGAGTTAGCTTCTACAAATATCTAGGTATTTGGACTGATGAGAGATTAGCCTTTGATATACAAATTGACAAGTTATTGAAAAAGCTTAGGCCAAAAATAGGTTTCTTATACCGGTCAAAAAATTGTTTTCCTTTTAAGGCCCGTAAGACATTAGTAGAGAGTACATTTCTGTCTATAATGGATTATGGTGATCATCTTTATATGCACGCAGCCGCTACTCTACTAAGAAAACTAGATTATGTTTATCATGCAGCAATACGCTTTGTCACAGGTGCAGACTCACGGACGCATCATTGCATTATGTATGATTCCTTTGACCGGTTATCTTTATATCAAAGGAGAAAATTAAATATGTACTTATTTATTTTAATGGCTCTCTTAGGTAAATTACCATCCTATCTTTCTAATTTGTTAACATTTCACATAAATAACCAACACACTAGATCTGGTTCGTGTATTCATCTAACAGTCCAAATGGTACTGTCAGAACTTGAACTTCTGGAACTTTGTGGTATTGTTTTTGTGATTTTTATGTGAAACTTTATGTGCTGCCTGCCATCTTGACCAGGTCTCACTGGAAGAAGAGACAGTACTGTCTCAATGTGATCTCCTGGCTAAATAAAGGAATTAATAATAAATAATAATAATAATATACACTCACCTTATAACAATATACAATGCAATACTTTCTCATACGTATTTGTACAAAGCACCTTATAACCTGTATATTTATAACAAATCTGTACATACAATTCAATATTCAGATATTTTTTGACTAACTGCATCTCTGTTTAATGTTTATCTTTTTTATATATTTATTTTGTGTTGTCAGTTTCAGTTTCCTTTATTTATGTCATTTAAATCATCACAATAGAATTGTATTGCAGAACGAAATTACGTTGCAACAGACCCAACAAGAACATAAAAAACATCACTATAAAAACACTATAAAATCCTAACATGATAAATAAGCTTTTATAATTCCATAGAAATATAAAAAATATAATTATATAAGATATAACCCATTTTTAAAAATCTCTGAAGAGAATAACTTAATACTTAAATACCTATTTCACCATTTGTTTTAATATTAACAATTTATGCTAGTTTAACAAATTTATTTATTTTTAACACTAGCTATCAACAATGCTTAAGAAACGGTATTATTTAAAAGTCTTATAATGACAGGATAAAAAATCTCGAAACCGCACTGATTTGCTCCTCAGACTTCTGTAACGCCTGCCTGATGGCATGAGTGAGAGCAGTCTATGACCAGGGTGGGTTGGATCCCCTAAAATGTTATTTGCCCTAGACAGACAACGGCGTTGGTAAAGTTCCTCGATAGATGTCATTTTGACTCCAACAGACCTTTCAGCTGACTTTATGATCCTCTTAATGGTGTTCTTATCAGACCTTTGCCCTGCCACAAAAGATTTAGGAATTGATGTGACTGTAAGTCTCTCTTAATTTTTTTGCACCTTTTGTTACAACCATCCTTACCAAAACACAGAAGTTTGTAACAACTAAATCAGTTATTTTCTTATAAAAAATAAATAAAACAAAATAATAATTTCATTAATTTTTTATTTTTTTTTTAAATAAACTTTTTGCTAGTTAAGACCCTTATTTCTTCAGATGGTTCATTGAGACCCTTTTAAAGCTGAAGTTCAACTACAATTTCTAGAAAAAAATCTATATCCAAAGTATGCATGCTTTCTTTTTTGAATGAAGAAATAAAAAAATACTTAATCTTAAATTAAAGGGGGCAAGTTAATTCTCATTAATGTTCTATTCTGGAAGTGAACTAATCCTATAAAATTGCAAAAATAAATGTTTTTTTATACTATTTTGTGTAATGCAGATATGGAACTTTTGCAGGTAAGAAGCAACAATTAAGACAAATAAATTAAATGCATGGGCTTGTTAAGGTACTCACATCAGTGTTAAAAGTTTAGCGCATACGCATGTGTAGACTGTGTTTCGGTCCATCCACACGCTCAAGCTTCTCAAAATGTCTCCTGGCATTCCGGATGTTGATGAGGGTGGCAGCAGATGCTGGAAATAAGAAAGATGGTTTAATATGCGACTGATTTATTTAAATTTCTAGATTGCATTAGCTGGCATTCTTTTGGACAGACAGAGAAATTGATCTTATGAACCACTACAGCTTTTAGTACAGTATAATACACTATATAATCTAGCACAAAAGAAACAGAGTGCTATGATGTGGTGTCTAATGTGACATTGTACTGTCATTCTATTTCATTATCTATCAAAGAATATTTCTAATACTTTAATCAGGAGACTGAAGTCTTACTTTAATTTACTTTTAATTTTATTTTACTTAATTTAACTACAGATGGGGCCATTGAATATGCATGTTTCAATGAATAGACTCTCATGACAAGTCAAAGCAGCATGGTTCTCTTGCAAAAGACAAACATTCTATGTAGGGGCAGTCGTGCTCCAAACTCAGTGTTTATTGATACCAATGTGTTAACCTCTCTCGGGCTAACCTCTCTCTCTCTCCCTCTCTCTTTATATATATATATTTTCACCCTTCACCTCTGTGTATTACTCCACCCACATAAAGTCAGCAACAAGCAGATAGATGGTACAGTTTGACAAATATAACTGTTGTTAGACTACAAAATTTACTTTTGAGGCTTTTTAGTAGATAATGTAGTTGTTTATATGTATATAAATATACTTTTTTTTAATTTATTTATTTTTTTACTTTTAATCTGCACCACGACCCGCGGCAACTTCCTCCTATGCTGTTTTCTTTACCTGCAAGTCTTTATTTTACAAATTATAAAGAATGTCTGCTTCTCAAGCTCTATGAGGAGTGTCATTCATGTATTTTAAGATGCACTCGGTCAGAAGACAATTGAATGAGATATCATGACATTGTGTTTTTGATCGTCAGCATGATGTAGACTTATAGTGAAAATAATATTTTTATAATATGGTTATAATGACATTTATACATGAACAAACTAGTGTGCAACTTAAGCAACTTTTTTTTTTTTTTTTTACATTTAGTTGTGTAGTTAGGGCCCAAACAAATATTTGTTATATTTTTAAATTTAGTAAGTTAATTTGATTGACAATGTAAAATGTTTTAGCTACGTTTGATGTTTCATTGTTGAGTAAACATTTTTTTTAAGGGTCTCTGATACATTGCTTTTACTTTATATATATATATTTTTTATTAATTAACATGACCTGTGTGTGTCAGCAGGCAGTTTTAGTCATGTTCTCAAAACACAGGCACCCAAATTTCCAGTGTGGATTATAATTTTATTATAATAAAAAAAAAATAAATAAAGTTTTTAATTTGTCAACTTTTGTTATTGCCAATATATGGCTTTTGTGCTTTTATAGAGTGGGAGTTGTAAAAAACATATTCAAGGGCGTGGGGTGATGGAGAGAGTTTTGATTGATATAGTGGGCCCCTTCTGGCCCAAAATGCCAGGGCCGATTATTTTGTCCCAGTCCAGCCCTGCAATTAGTACAATTGTTTGTATTCAATACTTTATTATTATTATTATTATTATTATTATCATTATTATTAATTTTCCATATCTGTAATTATCTGTAATGTATTTTAGCATTTTTTTTGCAGTCCACTTAAAATCCAACATGAAAATCTGTGTTTTCATTATTGGGATTGATTGTTTTGAAATTTAAATGGCATTAACATGCCTGTGTTTTAATTTCTGTAATAAATATGGCTGTAAAGCCAGGTTCTTGATGGTTTATTGTGGGTATGTTGTTTACATTAAGAAATCTGTGTTACAAGTTAAGCAAAAATGATAATAATGAATTATATTTTGAATTTAAATAGTATTTGTCTTGTGTTTACATTAATTTTAGATTCGAATAGAATAAATTACAAGTTTCAGTCTTTTAAATGCGATTAATCGTGATAATTTTTTTTTAAAAAGTGCGATTAATTAGTTTTTTTTTTTCGATTGACAGCACTCGATAAAAAGTGCTATATTTATATATATATATATATATATATATATATATATATATATATATATATATATATATATATTATTCGGTTTGAAATTCGTACCGAACCGAAAGCCGGTGGACCGAACGGTTCAATAAACATATCGTTACATCCTTAATATGCATTTATGTGTATGTATATATATATATATATATATATATATATATATATTAAGGGTGGAGCCGAACCCGAATACGGTATTCGGAAAGGCACAAATAGTGTGTTTTTACGAATACTTGATTCGAACAAATACTTGAAAAATTATTTGTATTAGGGAGCAAGAAAAACACTATCAAAAAGCAGCGTTTCCTCATGAGACCACAGTGCATGCCCGCAGGAGTGAGTGAGTGAGAGAGAGAGAGAGAGAGAGAGAGAGAGAGAGAGAGAGAGAGAGAGAGAGAGACGCTCAGTAGTCGGAGGGCGGGGCGGAGATAAAAGGTGTCAGGAGCAAGCTTCTCCACAGCAACAGACAGAAGGCTCGGCTGAGCGAAAAAAATACTTCACTGCATCACTATTTTTGTTAAATAGATTTTTGTACCTTAATTGGGTTCCAAAGGCAGTTTATAAACTTGTAGCGGAGTTGAAGCGGAGTTTGATATTCTATTACATTATTGACGTCTGCAACCGGGTGCTCTGTTTACGCAACGTTAGCTCTGTTAGCGCGGTAATTTTGACTGCCCCGCCTGCATCAAAACACTACTCCATTCAGGCACATGCTGAGCTAGCTGGTTGCACAATGGCTAACGTTAATGCTATTACCAGACCAAAAATAGAGCATTCTCCTATAACCAACAAGTCTGGCATTTGGGAGCACTTTGGTTTCCCTGTAAGCTATGAGGGTGGCGGCAAGAGAGTGGTGGATGAAAAAACAACGGTATGTCTCATCTGCAACATGACAATAAGCTACATCAGCGGCAATACTTCTAACATGTCAACTCATTTACGCTGACATCACCCCACTGCGTCAATAAGTGGAACTAGAAGAAAAATAGAAACACGCACACTCCACACTATCCTTGCAGCATTTAAGCAGGCACATCCCACGGATTCAAACAGGGCAAAACAAATCACTGAGACGAACAGCACATTTATAGCCGCTGATATGGGACCTTACTCGGTAGTAGAGAATTCGGGTTTTAGGAAAATGCTAAATGTAATCGAGCCCCGTTACATTATTCCTTCACAAGCGCATTTCAGGCAGACAATAATTCCTGCTTTGTACAGAAAAACAAAACCCAAAATAGAGAATGAGTTGGCCGAAGCATCAGCTGTTGCTCTGACAACAGACAGCTGGACGTCACGTGCTACACATAGCTACCTGACTGTAACGGCACATTACATTAACGCTGAATGGGAAATGAAAAGCCATGTTCTTCAGACACGCCCCCTTGAGAGTCACACGAGTGAGGATTTGGCCAGAGGGATGACAGCAGTGGAAATGTGGAAGCTGAAATGAGCTAATGTACCTATTCATGTGACTACTGACAATGCCTGGAATATAGTTAATGCTGTAGGAGCTGCTAGAGGTGGTTGCTAAGGTGTTGCTAGGCGGTTGCTAGCGTGTTCTGAATGGTTGCTAGGTGGTTGCTAAGGTAATTTGTGTGGTTATTAGGCAGTTGCTAGGGTACCCTAATGGTTACTAGGCAAGCCTCACATACATGCCTGATGAAATATTTATACTTAGTATTTCTAGCAAGTTACAGTACTTGGCTAGTCAATATTAGCATGTAGCTAGTCACTGCTAGCATGTGTAGCATATAGGAAGTTCCGTTTGCTAGCATGAGTCAAACGAGCCAATCCCCAAGTGTGATGTTCTGATGCTGAGATATAGCTGTTGATAAATGGTTGCTAGGGTACTCTGTTTTGTTGCTATAGGCGAGGTTACAGAGTGAACTTGAATGTGATTGGCTGTCTAAGTCAAATGAGCCAACCCCCAAGTCACCAGGACACTGCTAAGCAAAGATATGCATGTAGGCCAGTTATAATGGGAGTCAATGGAATCAGTTTGGGGGCATGGCTTGTGAGCTTCATTATCATATTGACATGTTCATTGATTGTCTGAGTCAAATGAGCCCACCCCCATGTCTCTATGACACTCCTATGTAATGTTATAGATGTGTGACCTTTATAATGGAAGTCAATGGGATCTGCAATGGGACGTCCCACCCCATGTTAAGTCAATGGGGCAGTTATTAAGGGTCTTTAAATGGTTTAAGAGGGCATGGTTTGAGAGCTCCATTATCATATTGGGACGCTGGTTGGTTGCTTGAGTCAAATAAGGCCACCCCTTAAGTGTGTATGACACTGCTATGTAATGTGATTGACATGACATTTATAATGGGAGTCAATGTAATCAATGGGAGTCAATAGGCAATGTTAAGTCAATGGGGACCCCTTTGGGACGTCCTAGCACTCCAGGGGTACAACTTATACCCCCTTTAGGGTATGTTCTCACTTAGGCTGCAAGCCCCTACAGATGTTGTGAATCCCATATTTCTATGAAATTCACAATGGACGCAGTGACTGGTTAAAGTTTGGCTCCATGTTAAGTCAATGGAGATTTTGGGAAGTCCTAGCTCCCCAGGGGTACAACATTTACCCCCTTTCGGGGTATGTTTTTAAGCGGCCTGTAACCATCTCGAGATGTCGCAAATCCAATGTCTCTACGATATTCACTGTTGGCGCTATGACGATTTCCGGGAATAGTATCTTACGAGTGTCTGGAAAATGAATGGGAGTTAATAGAGCCCATGTAAGTCAATAGGAGCACTTTGGGACGTCCTAGGGCGCCAGGGGTACAACTTATACCCTCTTTGATTTAGGCTGCAACCCCTTACAGATGTTGTGAATCCCATATTTTTTATAAAATTCACACTCGGCGCTGTGATTTGTCAAAGTTCGGCTCAATGTTAAGTCTATGGGATTTCACCCCTTCTTAAAGTCATAAAAATTAAATATATTTTAAATAAACTGCAACCAAAATATATATATATATATATATATAAACTTTTTTTTTTCTCAGAAAAAAAAA